GGGGGTCAATTTTGCAAAAATTCCAAATGCTGCTGCTAGGTGTGATTAGCTTAAACAATTTCCTGCTGCTTTGTCGTGGCTTTCTTTATAAACAAAGCCACAGCAGGACTTGCCCCAGTGTGGCATGTCTTTGTTCATATACAAAGACAAGTCATACCCATTCACAGTGTAACATGTGCTTTAGTAATCAAAATGCCATGGGATCACCATGTCAGCAATAAAATGTTGATCAGAAGGCCCTGTTTATTAACAAGCCACTGACCACTATTTTAGCAATCACAATCACTTTTTTTTTTAATCAACAGTCTTGTCTAAAAACTTGCCTGGAAGACATGCAGTCCTCCATTACTCCATTCTCCACTCCATTACTCCATTACTACACCAAATAAAGATACTATTATTATTATTATTATTATACAGGATGTATATAGCTAAAACAGTTTGTGCAGCGCTTTACAGCATATAGGGAGACAGTACAATTCCAATACCATACAAAAGGAATAGAAGGACCCTGCTTGTGAGAGCTTACAAACTACAATACTATCCACTTGGCCACCACAGGGCTGAAAGCCAAGATACTGACGCTTTCTTCTCACACCACAACAAAAGAACAGTATGTGGGTCTTATCCCCTTTAAGGGTAATTACTTGTTTGCTTCAACCTTTTGGTGTGGACTGCACACCTTTTACTGTTGGGGAACTCTGCTTCATATAAAGTTGACTATAACCAAAGATAGAGAAGAAAGATATTTTAACTTACCAACAGGGCCCTTGCAACTTGCCTATGCCTGTATGGAAAGCTGTAATTAGAGAAATTAAGTTGGCCTAGGTACACCTGAATGATGACCCCCTTTGTAATAAATTTGTTGAGAAGAATGTCACGAGCACACCAAAAATCCTTTCAGGATCACTAAAAGTTCATTTTATTGAATAATTGTCAAATGGAAACAAGCACTTTCTGGACCGTGCAGGGTCCTTTCATCAGGCTTGAGTGCCGATGTTAAGGCTGATGAAGGGACCCTGCGCAGTCCCGAAAGCGCTTGTTTGCCTTTGACAATTGTTCTGTGTGATTAGCAGCGCCATCCGCAGTCATTTCCAGCACCCTTCCCTATCATTGGGATTTCCGGTAAGGAGTATGACAAGATCTCTATATTATCCTTTGTAATAAGCCCCACCTCTTGTGCAATGTGAATATTAGGGTTAGGTTATTGGAGTAGTATTGGAAGCCTTATATGCAGCGCTGGTTTTCAACTGTACATACCATTAAAAAAGGTAAGATAGATGATTTAATATTTCCTGAACTATAAAATAAGTATTTCGATTCTTTTCTTCACCCCTTGCATCCTCTCTTTTATCAAATTTGAAGCAAACAGAAGAGGGTAACAATACAAGAAAAAATGTTTTTACAATTTTACACAGGCACTTGTGCCATTTTGGTAAATACAACTTTGTCTTTATACCCTATCCAAACCAAAAAGAGACTAGTTACTTAACAAAACTTTACCACACCTCAAATTTAGGTATCTACTTTGGGTACCTACAAATAAAGCACTTTTTACTTCCTTAACCCTTTCTAGATTGCCTGACTAATTGGTGAAGGGCTATAGCTAGATTCACTTAACACTTACAAATCACCCATTTAATGCTATTTGTTTCAAATTTAAAAATGCATGATAGAATTCTTAAGCAAAGAATGAAGGCTTCTCCATAATGAGCAAGGGGTTCTCTTTATCATCAAACTTTATGTTCTACCGGAAGTCAGAACCCATTGGATACACTAACTGACAGGATTATTTTGTTATGCTACTGGCCACATCTCATCAATGATTCTCTAAAATAGACATTGGGGTCTATTCACTAAGCTGCCATAGGCAGCCGAGTGAAAGAACGACCTGAAGTGAAGTGAGCCGAACGCTGTTCGGCTATTCACTTCAGGCTGGTACGGCTGATTTCAGCCGTAAATCGGCTGAAATCAGCCGTACATCGGGTGGCTTCATGTGGCTTCGGGTCGGCCAAACATGCTCAGCATGTTCGGCCGACCCGAAGTGCAGGAGGAGTTCGACTCAGCCGATCCAACATCTGGATTGGCTAAGCCGGACCCCCAGCAGGCTACTCGCTGCTGTTCGGTCTATTCTTATAGATGCCGTACAGCAGTTAGTGAATAGCCGAATGGGACCGAGCAGAACAGAAAATTTGTTTAAAAAGTTTTTAATAGGAATCTAGCAATGCATTCCTATGGGCAAAACATTTTTTATTTATTTTTCTATTCTGACACGGCTCCGTGAAAAAAGCAGTGTATCTCTCCTTGGCGGCCGGGAGCGGGAGACTCCCGGAGCGCCTGGGAGAGTTTGCTGTCTGGAGATCAGTGTCCCTGGGTAGCTGGTAACCAGGGATGCTGATCTCGGTGCAAGTGGCCGGAGCCAGCCGTAAGATCACGGCTGGCTCTGCCCAGCTGTTAGAAGCAGGCTGTCGGCCGGCCAGAGGCAGGCCGCTCGGCCATCTTTGGCTTTCAGCGCGGCTCAGCCGTGCCAAGGCATATCCCTTCGGCTCGACAGGGCTGCTCAGCTAAGTTCGGGAGCTGTACGGGCTATTGTGAATAGCCCGTACAGCAGCCCTTTGGTTCTACTGAACCGAAGGGGTCCTGGGGCCGAAGCTATGGCTAGATCCTTCGGCTGCTTCGTGAATAGACCCCATTGTCTCATACATCACCTCCTAACTACAGTCAGATGTCTTATTTCTAGAAAGTTAAAACATTAAAAATCCAGGTCAGCATTTTTTCACAAACTAACTTTGAACTATGGGAAGAATGACAGTTTGTTTTAGACAAACAATATGATCCTTTAACAAATTTGGGCTATGTGTAGACATATGATTAGAATAAATTAGCTCTTTCTCCCTCTTTGGTAAGATAAATGAGAGTCTAAACCCAAGAAAGAAAACTTATATAGTGCAGATAACTGCCTCTTAAATGTAGTGGCTGCGTTAGCTTAATTTTCCCCCTCTAATTTTTCCTTGTGTTCCTGCCAGTATCACACTTCCTAAAGCTACATTGCACCATTGTTCTGTATCCATGAAGGAAAAACATTGTCACCTGAGGACAGAAACTGTGTTAGAACTACATTACATCTTCCCCCCTCCTCATCTCCATAGCAGGGGGGGGATTGTAGCCCATACAGAATTCAGACAGGTATGATAACAATGTTTGAGATTTCAGTGCAGAATTGGCATGGAGCTTAAGAACAACAGGTATATTTGTGTACCTATCAAGCAGATATGAATACATTTTGTAATGGTATATTTAACAGATCACAAGGTAGTAAATAAGATAAGTTACATGTTTTCATTCACTTTAAACCTAAAAAGCAAGCAGATAAACAAAATACACAAAAATCGAGCTATGTAATCATCACTACATAATAAATTTATTTTTTAAATGCAATCACGACTTGGCAACAACCTCTAGCAATTTGCAAAAACTAAAACTAAAAACTGCATACACTTAACCATATACTGTATTGAAGTAGTTTAGGACAATTCCTATTGGTGCTGTAACTAAAGATGGGGTTTCCTGAAGCAAACCTTAAATCCAAGGTAATAGTTCAAATATAAGTCAGCACACCAAACATTCCTGTATTCATCAAAGTATTTTGTGTTGAAAATCCCATAATATTAACATATATACAGCCTTGATAAAAGGGTTTTCAACCAGAAATGTAATTAGGTTTCTGCACAGCTACCCTTCTGCATGGTGACCAGGTGTGCTTGCCACTTTTTTATGGTGCTTTTGTTGTTATATTCCTTTGCTGTACATAGGCTGATATGCATGGGTTTACTATCCCCCACTGTGTCAGATGTATTGCCTATTATCACTGACTGCTATTATCACTGACTGCTATTAGATAAGTTACTATTGGCCATAGACATATTTTGCTAGTAAAATCAGATTATTTGACCTTTACATGTTTGTTTACCGGGATATTAAAGAAGAGTGTGTCTAAAATCATCTAAAAGGCAAACACATGGGATGATAGTTGTAGTGTGCACAGCCTTTGAAAAAGTATTTTCTGCAATTATGCTTAGGGACACTGTTAATTTGCCTGCTGCTAATATAGAGTAAGGGTATGTGTGCATTGAATGTTTATTTGACTATACAATAGATTTAGACATTCCTGTGATCCATCATAATCCCAGCTGAAATTAAATAAGCAAATTACATTACTGTCTTCCATGGATATTAACAATGCCATTATGTTTAAATCAGCATGGGATTTCATGATAGATATGATGCCTTAATATTATGATTTCAGTTTATTTTATACAACAAATGAATATAAAAGATCTTTTCATCACTACAAGAATGTAATAAAGAGCAGGAAAGGAATGGTTGTCATAAAAACAATATCCACTATCAGGAGTCATAGGTTTCATGTATTTTTTTTGTCTCAAGTATTATTATATTTTGAATACATTATGAAGATAACCCTCGTGCACATATGTGTTGATCCTTGAAAGAAACTTTCTTGCCCACAAATTAAAGCTAAAGCCAACAAACGGTAATTCAAATTCAAATTAGCATCTCTTGTCAGTGGCCCCTTTGGAGCCTGAGGTATAGAGTCACCATGCTCCTTGTTATTCGAAGCAAGGCAATATGTTCCCACAACAATGTGTCCTTGTTGATTCTTGATTTGCTAGACTCTTTTAGGGTTTCCATGTACAATTTTTAAATTAGCCCAGTACTAGCTGCTTTCAAAATTGCTTTAATCTATAGCCCAGAAATAAGAGCTAGCATGGTTAGGAGGCATTAATAGGCTAGGCTTCCACCTAAATGGTTCTTCATATAGCATTTCTTAAAATTACTTCCATAACAATGTTTCCCATCCATTAGATTTGCAATGTCTTCAGTGTCTGGTGCCCTCTAGTAAGGATTAAAATATTTGTCATACTATGTTTATTTTTTCTGTCCTACGTTTTTTTTTTACATTATATATATATACATATATATATATCTCTGTAATATCTGATTAAAGGCTGAAAGATGTAACACTCAATTTACAAAGATGTAATTACTTATTTGCCATAAAGACGTGCAGCACAATGGCATAGTGGTTAGCACATCTAAATGCAAGCTGGTAAGTTGATTGGCTCCTGTCTAAATTAACCCTCGTATGTATGCATGTTTAATAGGAACCTTAGATTGTAAGTGAATGTGTACTGTGTAAAGCCCTGCGTAAAACTGTCAGCGCTATATAAATACCTGTAATGATAATAATAATAATAAAGACAAATATTTTCAGCAATGACAGCCAAAAAAAACTGGAAAAAACAAATATCAGGGCAAGTTACACTTGTGCATAAAGCCTGTAGTCTCTCTCCTGTCCCACAGTACAAATGGAAATTGAGTCTATGTCAAAAAAGGCAACACGAGAAACAGATACATTCAAATGTCAAAAAATGAAAACTGGCACAGAATTTAGAAACATTGGCTGTGCTGCCTGATTTGTTATAAGGTCACAATAACCATTAATTCTTGTGTATGGCCTTGTAACTACCATTCTCAATATAAGAATATGAATAGGAAGATGGGATTTGTGAGAGTAGGTAAGATTGAAAATGGTGTGCAACTGGAGTCCAAATTGTTGGACTAAAAATGGGAAATAGGAGAGAGAATTTTAGAGAGAAAGCTGTCTCCTGAGGAATTTAAAGAATTTCCTCCATTAGAAAAACACAGTGAGGGGAATTTATCAAAACTGGAGCAGACAAAATCTGGAGCAGATGTGCATGGCAACCAACCAGCTTCTCTCTACAGTTTGTTCAGTTAATATTTGAAAATGAAAGTGAGAGGCTGATTGACTGCCATGCACAGCTGCTCCAGATTTTGTCTGCTCCAGTTTTGATAAATTCCCCGCTGAATTTTTTTTCCATGTCTACATGTGTAGAGGCAGTTATTCTTCAGAATATTAATACTCTTGTTAAATTGAAATAAAAAAAGAAACTAATTAGCCGCCTTTCTTAGCCCCTCTGTAATACACTTAACATCACTGAAATTTTTTTTTAATAATATTAACATAACTGACATTATATTAACATAATCCTGACCTTACTACATCGAGTTTACCTGTACTAAGGCTTTGGAACATAAGTTCCCTAGTATTGTCAAGTTACATATACTTAGGATTTTGTCAGTCATTGAAACAATATCCTAAATGTCTTTGTAAATTGTATTGAGTGCAAATTTTCCTTCTGGTTATTAAGTTTTGGATTAAAGTGAGCCAAAAATTACTTCTGGTTTTATTAAAATATATTTTGTTGTTGTAGTGTAAAAATAATTTAATAGATCTGAAATAAATAGTAGCAAATAAAGAAGTTTTTTTTAGCATACTTACCAACGGTAGCAAGAATTGCAAATGCTACAGCCGAAATCAATGGCAATAATATATAGCTTTAATTTACGTTTTTTTTTGTAATGTATTTTCTCAGTGGAATAGAATGAATGTCCTTTGGGACTTATTCAGACAATCTGGTGATGATAAATAGCCTACACTTTTGTCTGCCATTCCTCATTAGCTATAATTAAATAATATGTATCCTCTGGGCATTGAGGCATTATATTAACACTTTTTTTTACCTGAACTCTGGAAAACTAAATTTAATAGGAATGTCAAAGCTCATAGTAAGTGAATATTCCTGCTTCTTCTTTTTGACTTACTTTGACTTGATGTACACAGTTTGTTTGCCCCAAGATGATGTACAACTATGCACCAAAATGCATGTTCTAGTTTAATAACTTGTGGCCTCCTAACAGGCACACAGATTTAAGAGGGCCCTGCAAAATGTTATCTTTGCAAATATAGTTTGTGATGATCAATCAAAGCTGTACGATGATAATAGCACTTTAGACTTACGCTAAAGTTAATTATTTTATTGAAATATAAAAAGTGAACTCTATCTATAAAAAAGATCTATTATACCTAAATGAATGAATACAATCCTTCAAGTTTGAATAAGGTTGCAGAAAAGTTGCAAAACTTATGGAGGGCTCTTCAGTGCTTGACCACATTGGTGACTCTACAACTGAAGACCAAGAAACTCTACCTAGATGGAGAAGGAATTTCCTATGCTCCTTGGCTCCATCTAATGGCAGTAATGCCTTGTGAACATTGTTTGCCCAGCTATATGCTGGGTAAATGCTTTGTAAATCAGCTCAATAACTGTTGGTTCCTAAACTATTACACAGCTGCATATTTTTAGTATTTTGTTTAATTTCTTTGGAAACATATTTTTGACTACAATATTTATCACGTTGACAACCTGCTGAGCTACTTCCAAAGCAGTCATAAGAGGCTATATTATATGTCACATATAAAAAAAGACAAATAAATAGAAAATAGTGCTACAAGCATCCTAGTACCCAACTAATGTTTCAAAAATCTTAAGTCTCAAGAATGGGAATCAGAAAAATTTACATATGTAGAATCCAACAATTAAAATTGTTAAGTTGCTGCAAATACTGTGTACTGGTGTAATGAACTGTACAGCGCTAAATGCCCTTCAGGAAATTAGATAACGGTAGGGATCATATGGTGTCACCTCCGTGTCAAGCAATCGTGAAACAGTGTATATATAATAAATATTTGTGTAAAAACTTATAGTACGTTATAAAATGTGTCAACAAGTGTCATAAAAGGCGTGTCATACATGAACCTTATTAAATAAATAAACAAAAGCCGCACATACATCTTCGGCCTCCATTGGATAAGAATAAAGGCTTTCGACCATCAGGGATCTGGTGAGTGCATTCCCTATAGGTGACCTGCCTGTTTTTTTTTTGTTTTTTTTTCTATCGTTTTTTCGTTGGACACTTCATAATATTGGACATTTCTTTTGATTTTGATTTTTATTCTCATCCTTCTGGGCTTTTTTTTGTTTTGAAGATCGGAGAGCTTTAAGAACTTTGGGTGCATTTTTTATATTATAAGTGCATACTTCTACTTATTTTCGAAAGAAAACAACACAGACTGTTTTATATTGTGATATATTTATTTCTCACATATATGACACATGTTTATTTATTTATTTAATATTTTTTTCACAATAATATTTTTTTCACATATATGACACATGTTCTTTGAAGATTTTTGTTTATTTATTTAATAAGGTTCATGTATGACACGCCTTTTATGACACTTGTTGACACATTTTATAACGTACTATAAGTTTTTACACAAATATTTATTATATATACACTGTTTCACGATTGCTTGACACGGAGGTGACACCATATGATCCCTACCGTTATCTAATTTCCTGAAGGGCATTTAGCGCTGTACACTTCATTACACCATTATTCTGTAGGCTTTTAGCCTGAGTTCAGCAGCTTTTTTCCTTTTTGGTTTTAGAAATTTTAGCTCCGGGGTCATATTAATATCTATTTTAAATTTTAATCCATCTTAATTTAGTTTTACTATTTCCGTTAGCGCAAGTTAGTTTGGTTCAAAATACTGTGTACTACCACAATATTGTAGGTAGTTAAAAAGCCATACAAGTTATTGCTCTTAAATAATAAATCCTTTAAAATAATATTGCATAAATACTCATTCCAAACTTTGCATTATCAATTATACTCTTCTTCCCAGTCCTGAAATAAACTGCGGCATGCTGGGAATTTAATAGGTTTTTGAAGAACCAAAAGTAGATACCAAACAAAGAAAACAAATTAGGGTACTCAAACATACAAAGTTTGCTCAGGCTGACTAATGCATTGTGAAAAACTATACATTCCCATATCAGGTAAAAGAAATGCCTCAATACCTTGGCATTGCCCCCCCTTGCCCCACCCCCCACTTCCAAACACTTACCTCTGATCTGTGTTCACCGCCGCTGACAAGACAATCTGCTGCTTCCCTATAGGAGTAGGGGTGTGGCCTGTCGAGCACAGCTCTGCTAAGTTCCCGGCCAGGAGAGTGGATGCAAGGGTGTCTGCTTTGCAACCTGCTAGGCAAAGGAGACACTCATAAACAGGAAAGTATGAAACCTCCAAATTATAAATGAAATGGGGCAGTTTAAAACCAAAAAGTTAATTAAGTAAGAATAGATCTACATTGCTGATTTAAACAAAAGGGTTTAATATCACTTTAAATCAGTTTTAATACTAAACATAAAAGCAAGACCAGATGGTCCTTTGAGAGGACATTATAAATGTTAAATAAAAACATACTTATCATATTGATACATTTTACAGCCATAAACCACACCACACAACTTAAATGAAACCTGGACTATTCTTTCAATTAAACTTGGGAAAAATCAGTGGGATAAAAGGTTCATACAGACCTATCTCCCTACCTGATATGGATCCTAAATGCATTACATTTACAAGTCGCTACTAGGGGTGAGCTTTGGATTTGGGTTGAACGTGACTTCATTTTCAAAGTTCGCCAAAGTCTGACCAAAATGTAAACAACAAACAACACAACTGCTGACACAACGACCCACCGTCCAACAATTTTCACCTGCCGCATTCTCGGTGGAAGATTATTAGTTGGCTGGTGTTTGTAAACAAACCAGACAGTCATCCTAGGTGATGTCATGGTCCAAATACGGTCATAGCCATATTTGGTCCATGACATCACCTAGAATCCCCAGGCAGTTGTTAGCATACAACAGCAGCCATGCAGGGATCTGTAATTTTGTCCTGGGAGTGTGACGGGTGAACATTGTTGGGTAGTGACTCAGTGACAGCAGGTCAACATTCTTGAGCAGTGGGTTCTTGTGCTTAACGAGTTATAACATCACTGCATGAACACAGCTAGCAGGATCTCCGGCAGCCACTCCGCCCAGCACGATGATGTCACAGCTCCTCCCACCTGGCGCATATCATCCATGTTCGGCTCACTTCACTTCTGATCGGTCATTCACTCGGCTGCCCTTGGCAGCTTTGTGAATAGACCCCTTAGTATATGTGGGTACCAGGTGCTTGTTATTTTTTTGCCATTGTTTTGTAATTTCATGCATAATTTGATGCACATTAAGTTTTAGAGTTTGATCATAATTATTGATGTGTTTCCAGTGTTTTACATGCTTTATTGTTTGGAGCGCAACACATAATGTATATTGATTTTTTATGGTGTTGGTGGCTGTACATTTAAGTGAGCAGATCTAAATTATAATAATTTTTGTGATTATCACATATAAATATTATCATTATTTTTCACAAGATTAACCCAGGGATTTTACAAATTTATATACAGTATATGTATATATATACTGAGTGGCCAGATTATTATGACCACCTGACGTTTGTAGGCAAATTAGCTATAATTTTACACTGAAGTTGCTAGAGGGCCAGACCATTATAACTAAATAGGGAAGCAGGTTGTTTACCACGACAGTAGAAGTAATTTTTTTCTGAAGATATGGGTAAACAACGCGATTTAACCCTTTCGCTGCCAAGCCCTCCGGAACCTTTTTTCAAATCAGCTGGCCAAGCCATTTTTGAATTTTATGCAATTTTTTCCTATTAGAATAGCTGAGCCGAAGGGCGCTCTCCGGCCTTCGGCTATTCACTCATTGCTGTTTGGGCCCCATGAGAATAGGCCAAACAACAACGAGTTGCCTGCAGGAGGTTCGGCTAAGCCGATCCAGATGCGATCACTCCGGTATTTGTGCTGCACAGAGGATCGGTAAATATCAATGATACTTATCGATCCTCCATACGGCCACGCACAGAGCCGCTGTCATCCGGAAACTGACAGGATGACAGCGGCTCCGTTCTCCTCACCGCTCAGCCATCCTG